AATTCCCAAAACTGTTCGATAGAATAAGTCCAAACCATAAAAATGTCATCCAAAAAGCGTCCGTAAAAAAGTGGGTCAAATGGACAGAGGGGCAACACCTCACGTTCCCACTCTGCCATGAAAAGGTTTGCGTACGAAGGGGCGAATCGTTTGCCCATTGCTGTCCCTGAAGTTTGTAAATATGTTTTACCATTAAATGTGAAATCGTTTCGACTAAGACAAATCTCTAAAAGCTGTAGAATTGCATCGTCGGGTCTGTTTGGATCTGGGTTTCTATTAAAAGCTTTACGAACTGCCGTTAAACCAGTAGTGTTATCGATATTGATATACATAGAAGAAACGTCGATAGAAATTAAAATAGCATTAGAGGGAACTCGAAGATTTTTTATTTTATTGACAAAATCGGTTGTGTCTTTAAGGTAGGCGCGATGTTGGCATGCTAGAGGTAGTAAGAAATGATCAATGTATTCTGACACTGCATATGACTCACTACCACAGTCAGATATAATCGGGCGGCCTTTGGGGTTTTATTCGAGATAAACCACTCCTTGGTTGGATTCTTATGGATTTTAGGCAAAGTGTACAAATGTCTCTCGCGACAATCAGGTTTGGCAGACAGATAGTCATATTGTTTCTGTTTGAGATAACTAGTTTTGACTAAATCGGCAAGAATATTATTAATCATGTTAGCAGTTTCTTTGAAAATTGGTTTCGGTAAAATGGCATAATGTTTAGGATTATTCAGTTGATTCTCTGCTTCTGAAACGTAATCCTCCCTATTCAGAATGACACAACATGGACCTTTGTCACTCTTTTTAATAGTCCACGGTCTAAGATTGAATGCTGAAGGGATGTGAGAATTTTGCGGCTCAAGTTAACTACAGTTTGGCCTAGCGGTGGCCTCTCAGTATTTTTATCCCCAGTAATTAGTTTAAAGACTTACTCGATGCTTGAAGCTGGTGTATCCAAAACAAATAAATGCTGTTTGCTGTTTCTGGAGACCAATGAAGATTATCAACTGTTTCGAATTCTTCTTCGTAGGGTGGTAAGATTGTTGCGCTGTTGATACTGGACTCCATCATCATGTTGTTGAGGGTGCTGAGGTTCTGTTGTGCTTTCTTCGAGATTTTATTTGAAATGGGTATACATGTGAAGAGGATCTTGGAGTTTGGGAAGGTTTTGTTGGCTGTGGCGATTAATTTCTGGGCTTGGTTAAAGGAGGTCTTTGGTATCTGATCACGGTTGTTGAGGCCTACATGAAGAATAATGGTAGTAGGTTTGGGATCATGGTCGTATGATTCCAGGATTGACTGTACGTGATGGATTTGGGCACCGGGGTAAGAATGTATTTCGGTGTCTGAACTGGTTTTGGTAATTCGATTCAGGTTAGATGATCCAATTATTAAGGTTGATTTCTTTAGAGCAGGTAGTTTCCATAATGATTTGTCCTTGGTTTGGTGATAATACGGTTTGGTAGCGGATATAATGGTCGTCGTCGGTGTGATTGGTACTGGTTTGGTAGTTGTTAGAATTGTAGCATTGGGAACGGACTGGGATCTGGTTCGAGGAGGGGAAGGTCTGGATACATGTCTCGACTTGGATGGAGACTGAGGGGTGGTTTGCTGGTCCAAAAACGCACAGAAGGAAGAAAGGTTGGCGGATCCTGGATCACGTGGTGAAGATTCAGATGGTGTGGAAGGGGAAGACGAGTCTGAAAGTGAAAAGAGAAGGGGTGTGCCCTCTCTACGAGAGCGTTTACCTATGTCTGCTGGACTAGGTGTAGGTGACCTTCGGGCTCGTTTAGGGGTTTGGTTCGGCAGCGTGGTAGCTCTAGATGGTGCAGGTGTAGTGTCCATTTCAGTTGGTAGAGATATGGTTACTCTGGTTTTTGTTTCGTTGATTGTTTGGTAGAATTTGGAAATTACAGCTTGAGTGAGACGTTTCCCATAGGAGCGACGGGCCCAGGACAGGACATGAGAAACGATGCGGTCGACGGCAGGTGATGATAAAGACTTGGTACGAATGGTGGTCAGCTTCTCTTGAAGTGTGGTTTGGTAATGGTCGATCAGGACCTGCGTAACCTTACAGAGCCATGTCCGATTGAGGGATCTAATATTCGCGTCGACAGCTGATGTTTTCATTGCTGGACGGATAAAACTATCCAACTCAGAGACTTTGCGTTTGAAGGTAAACGCTGGTTGGCCTTACTGTTGAAGGGTAAGGATTGCCAAATGATAGAGGCACTGCAAAACTTGGAAGAACACCTTCACAAAGGGTTCTTCCTCCTTATGAGTGGGGACTGGTTGGCGTCGGTGGGCTGGTAGTCGTTTCTGTTGTTGGTCAGGTCGATGGTTACCTCTTGATTGGTAGGCTGTGTTGTAGGTAGGTCGGCGATGGGGTGGGATATAGCTGGATGGGTTGGTCGGTGGTCGGCGATTGGTAGGTGGTAGAGGTCGATGGAAGACAGGGCCGTTGTAGGGTACGTGATATTGGTTTGGTTGACGATTAGTGTTTCTATTTCTGGCTTCTTGCCAGTGGTTGTTGTAGTTGGAGAGCATAATGAAAATAACTTGAGGTTAGAAAGGATATGTACAGCGGATGTAACAGGAGGAAACTGTATATGCTAGCGTGAAAATGTTGGGATCAAATTATGCAAATAAGTCAAACTGGGTTTGGGGATATATAAAGCAAGATGAAAAATGCAAAAAAATATATATTTAGGTGATAAATAACGCTAACAATGATGTGAAAAATTATAACAAGTAAAACAACGAATACCTATCTGAATATGGAGGAAGTGCAGATGGTAAAAACAATATTGAATTCGAAGGTAATTTGAATCCGAACAAAATAAAATTGATATTAAGAAATAATAGTCAAGTTTATTTCAACGTAGAAAATTCATTGAATGCGTTACTAGAATTTGATAAACAAATATACACCCAATCCACTTTCGCACCACATAAAGCTAATATCGAGAATGATATCGATGTCATAAATATACATTGCATTTGATAAACGGTGGATTTTTCAATAAATACAAACGTCAGATTATTTATAGTCTTCCAACATTCACTGCACCGATTGGATATAGAATTATAGAGAAACCATTTCAAACGACATATTTACCACTTAATTCCTTTATGATTAAAGATATAAATCTGGAAATCAAAGATGGGAAAAATAGGTTGATAGATTTTGGTAACGAGGAAATTGTTATTCAACTTCATTTAAAACAAAAAAAATTAACACTCTTCATTCTCTTCTTGAATAGTTAGATAATCGAAATCATCAAATTCATAGTTTTCATCCAAACTCATTTCATCTTTATCACCATAAGGATACATGATTCCTTCATCGTCCGGTGCTTTTCTCTTAACGAGATTCAGATAACTTGTGAAAACTTTCATTTGTTTATCATTATCCTTTGCAATAACTACTCCATTGGTGAAACGTTTTCTTTTCTTTTAGAATACCATCGGAAGTTAGAATAATATTATATTTAACTTTTAGCGCTAAATATAAACCATATATAATTCCACCATCACCGTAATCATTCTTTCCTTTACAATAATCATTTTCGGACACGAACCCAGCTTCATTTAATTTATCCCAATTGCTAGACGAAATGTATAAACTATCAGTATCTGTATAGTATATTTCCGGCTTATAAAATCCGTCTATGACGTGTATAAATTTATTCATTATTTTTTTACTGTGAGATAATACGAATGATCCCAAATGACTAGGTGTTAGTCGTGTAGATTTAGGAGGTTTTCTTTTTCTTCTTCATTTATCTCAACGATATATTGAGTCTCATTTACTTTAGGATAGCTTTTGACGTGTGAATCGAAGTTGGCTTTTAAAGTTGCTTCACTCCATAAATGTCTCGATGTAGTTATATCCTTCTGAATAGATTAATCATACAATGAATTACCTAATAATTTCATGCAAATACTACCTACGATATTACCTTCTCGTTTATATTTATTTCTTAGATCTCTCAAAATTGAAATATAATCTCTATAGGGTGGAGTTTTAAAATTTTTTTCGTAAACTATACCATCTAATATTCTAATAATTCGTCCACCGGCTTTAACTATTTCTTGAATATCGACCAATGTTAAAACCTCTGAACAGAAACCATTTCTGAACCTGATTTTAGTGCCAGTTTCCTTTTTACCTTCTTTGTTCGTAAAAGTGATTTTATCTTTAGCTGGTATCGGTTGGAAGAACATGTTTTTGGGAAAGTCAAACCAGACTTTTAAAATAGCCGTTCTAGGTCTGAATTTCTGGTCATTAAAGAGCTTAACAAATTCTTCATTGTCTTTTTTAGATCGAAACGGTCTACCACTTTCCGCTTTTGGATATTCGCTGTCTAAATCCGACATGGCGGAAGCGTAAAAACCGTTAGCATCAAAAGCCATTAGTTTAGTACATTTTATTTTTTTAAGTTTAAATAAACTTCCGTTTGATCTTTTTTACTTTTACTATACTCTTTAAATAACTTCTTTAATACATTACAAATTTCATCCATTTTATTCGTTTCAAATGATTTTCGATTTGCCGAAACTCTTCCTCATTTAATGGATTGTCTGATGAAATATCTTATAAAAGGGTGTGTATGTGAGTAAACTTTTTCTACGTTTTCTTTTTCGGTGTGTTTCGGAACCATTCTAGTACTTTCATACCATCCTTCTTCTACCATTTCTTTATTGTAATGATATAAATAATACCAACCCTTTAAAGATAAAGACGGAGCCGTTAGATTATTGGAAATATTCTGAAATACAACTTCTTTCATAACTTTGTTATATTTTATCAAACAAACTCCGAGACATAACGTATCTCTTTTAGCGTAAAGTTCCCATTCGTGTCTTAAAGATTCCCAATTATCTTCGGTGTATTTTGCAATATTAATATCGGTGATCTTTCTCAAATTCATTGGTAGATTAGACGAATTTCCCCATGCCGCCAAACTAGAATTTTCATGTTGATAGGAACATATGAAATTAATATTTTGCAATTTTTCCATTTTTTCTGTAAATATTCATCGGTGAATGAATTAGTAAAGGTAGAGACAGAATGCCTATAGCTGTTACTAGTGGACATTGAGTTACAATCTCTACAAGTTCTCAATACGTTTTCATCGTAATCATCTTCTATTTCTTTAATGCCAAAGGTTTTGTTATTTCCTCTAATGAGACAGAAATGCGATTTATGTAAGTAAAATACCCAATCTAATTCTTCGGATACTTTCTTTGGTTGAAAATGTCTATGTTTGGGCATATAAATTTGAAAATAAGTATTAAATTTCTTATTGAATTCACAGATTCTAGCAGTTGTCGTAACTCCTTTTCTGTTTGATTTTGAAAAACTGTTGATGAAATCTTGAAATTCTCTCGTGTAGTCTTCGTTTAAAACACGATTTACGCACTTTACAAACTTCTGACAAAGCAAAAGATGGAAAGTGTTTAACATCTACAATAGGATGCCCAGTAAGATGTCCACCAGGCAGTATTTTTTCATTATCTGTTATAATTATTTCAGGTTTAATAATAAAAACTTCTACAGTAACAAACGATATTTGTTCTTTCGAATCATTAATCTTATTCAAATGGAAGATTGAAATAAAATGATTTATTTTCTTTCTTGAGATACTTTTCTAATGCGACTATATTTTTGTTCTGTTTCAAAACTAAGTTATTAATAGTGGTTATATGTTGATGAATAACACTATCATCAATATTTTGTATTTTTTGTTGAATATAGGTTTTGATTTCGCTATCATCACTATTTTGTATTTGTTGTTGAATATAGAATTTGATTTCGCTATCATCTATGTTTTGTATTTGTTGTTTAATATTTCTTAGTTCTTTTTGTAATTCACTATTAAGTTGAAACGTATCTTCATTTTCACCTGGAATGTTATCTATTAATTGTTGAATGTCTAATTTTTGTTTTGCAATCTTATCCTCTAATTTAGATATTAATGAAATTAAATATTGTAAGTCAGTTTTGTTCACTACGTTGACCAATTGTTTTTGAATAAAACTTATTAAACCTTTTACCTCTTGTTGTAGTTTAGTATCATTAATAAAAATTTTATTATTTAGTTGACGTTTGAAGAATCTTTTCACATTACTAATTTTATCTTCTAAATGGTTTTTATTTACTCCAATTGAATTTATTTGTTCCCTTAAATATTTCTTGTGAACAGCGGCATTATCATTTTCCGGAGATTTTAAATTAGTTACTTTGAAATTGTTCATATCTAAATCAACTTGAAGAGTGTCTCCGATTTGATCCACAAAGTAAGGTTTCGCTTTATTTATCCACACTGTAGTGTTAGGTTTTTTAGTTTCTAAAGATAAAGAACCCAATCCAAACTTGTTCGCCATTTTTATTTAGTTAAATTTATTACAATTTCTTCAAACTGTTTTCGTAAACTCAACCGATATAAAACCCAAAGTGAAAGCTGTTCACAAAACTTTTGACCTGGTAATTGAATTTGAAATGTTGAACATTTGATTGGTTGATTAGTCAATTGCACTATCTCTTCAGTGGGTTCTAATCCAAAAGAATCGAAGAAATATAAGTTATTTGAAGAGTCTTTGTACAAAGCAGAATGATGAACTCCTTTTTGATCGGAAGTATGTAGATTTGTTATAGCATAAAATTTACCTTTCTTATATTTCAGATCATTTATTTCATTTCTCATACAATAATAAAACGGTGATATATTTAACTCATTTTCCCATTTCATAAGTTGAAAGTTTGTAGTTGTATCGGTTCCGTATTTATCGAGAAAGATATTCATTTTTAAAAGTCGGTTTTTTGAGGAATATGCGGTAAGTATTGTTGAAAAACCCAATTGACGAAATATATACGTAGTTTGTGTTTGAAATAAATTGTATAACATTCTGCATAAATGCTTGTCTACATCTAAATTTCTTAATCTTCTATCAAATTCTTCATCATCCGAATTCTCTTTGTTTTCGAGAAATTCATTCATTTTCAAGTCAGTTTTTTGAAGTTCGTTTTGATAAACCTTACCTATGATTTGTTCTTTGTCTTGATCGATTAATTCATATGTCGGAGGTGGGTGGTGTTTACTTTATCAACGATGAATATTTCGTTTGTCCAGTATCCAACGTAACCTTTTTCGAATTTACTTTTATATTTGAAAATACGAACTCGATCTCCGACTTTAAATTTGGGTTTGATATTTAAATTCTTTATTTCATTTTCGTAGTTATGTTGTGCGTTAATTGACTTTATAATATTTGGATTATTTGTGGCTTGTGTTGGTGTGACACCTATAGATGAATGAATTTTGTTATTGTATTCATCTACAACCTCTGGTAATATTTTAAGCCATTTTTTAAATTTGAATTCCGTGAACTTTTTGAATAATTTATTTTTTAGAGTTGTATTATATCTCTCAATAACTACAGCTTTACCTTCATTATTCGTGCTATAAATTTCAAATCCCAGAGATTTCATATTTTTGTTATAAAATTCACTATTTTTTTTACCAAGATGGCCGCCGAGACAAGTCACTGATATCTGAGCTCTGAGAACATTTATTAATACTACAAACCTATATATTTTAATGACTTGGAATCTAAATTATCTGGACACGCTTGTTAGAGACTATCTCTGGAGTAAATTTTGTGTAATTCTGTGGTTAAATGTGAGTTTCATTGGGATTTATTTGGATTAGCTGCTTTTCTGTACATTTGGAATTTTATCAGTGTAATTACAATTTGTTTGTTTTACATATTTAACATTGTGATAAACCCTAATTACTTTCCTGACATGGCTGCATCGTTATTTAAGTTTTTGCACATCAATTATAGACTCAGTTCTAGGAAACAAAGACGCTAGTAAATCGAGAATTGAAATCAACTTAAAAGAAAATGAGTATTTCTGCACTGTGGACTATAGGGACAGATGCTGCAGTATGGCAGTTGTGTTCAAGGAGAAGAAATTCTATGAAATTGTTAAGACTATTCGTTTTGGTTTATATGGCCAATTCGAAAATAAAAATCATAACGGACATGTCTTTAAGACGCTCATAAGTAATAGGAAACTTGTTCTCCATCTATATGATAGTACCAGTACACTTCATGTACAAGGAGGTGGTTTCTCTGACTGGTACTTTGATGCATTTCCTAGTGTTGTACAAGACCTGATAGAAAATCTCGAAAAAAAGCTTCCCACTGAAACACTGTATAAAGATTGTCATAACTGTGAGTCATCAAAATCCAACAAAAACTTTGATTATGGCTTCAATTACTAGGATAGTGGCCAAGACTTTAGAGCCGACAATTCTTCTCTAAATACATCATTCCCGTCATCTAGTCTCTCTATTGGTAATAATGTATGTTCTAATTCTTCTGTTAATGATATTCATAGGCAATTATTCATTAATCAGGATTCATCCTCCAAAATTGTAAGTCATAATACATCCAGTTCGAATATTTCATACTATGGACTTGACTCTGAATCAAGTGTACTGTCATCAGCGCAGAGTGATAATAGCTCTTGTTGTTCGTTGTTCCCAGGTATGTCGTTTACTAATACTGTAGTATCCCCCTTCCTAATAGAATTCCTAGATAGAATTAATGATGAAAACGGTGGTGGACTTCTTGTTTATGTAAAATCTCATATAAAATTTAACAGAAGATTAGATTTAGACGTAGGAAACATTGAAACAATATGGTTACAAATTTCACCTAATTACAATCAATCCTTTTTATTATGTTTTGTTTATAGACCACCCTCTTCCTTGATTAATTGGTATAATCTATTTGATAATCAGCTTGATTTTCATATAAAACAGACTAAAAACAGACATATTCAAATTAATATAGAAAATTTAAAAACAATGTAGATGCTTTTCTTGCTGATATCTCGCGACAACCCTTCTCATGTCTTGAACATAATAATAATAATAATAATAAATTAGTTTATTCATTGTGTCACGAATCAGCTACATGAAATATAAAACATATATTATATACAGCAATAAGATTCCCGGCCAAGATTGGCCTATGTGACACGTACTGGTTAAAACATAGTTATTTACATATGAAATTTAGATATATCTTAGCTAAAGCAGTAATTCAATGAATTAAAACATGTTCTTAAACAAGAAATATAACAAATTAAAATTTAGAAAAGTCTTTCGGTAAAACAATAATTGATAAATTAAAACCTATTCTGCACTAATAACGTAAAACTTGGTGTGACTTTAGATAAAACAATAGTAATTACTAAATTAAAAACTATTTCGTCAAATAACATAAAAATTTATATGACTATTAAAACTCGTTCTTAACTAATATCAGTAGATAAAATAAAAGGAAATATCAGCGGTTATTTAAAAGCTAAAAGTTTTTGACGTGTTACATATTAGATAAAAAGTGATATTGGACTGGAGCATTACTCATTATAAAATAAAATTGATCACGTTCTGGCATAAAGTTAAAATTTGGATTTACATTTTGACAGAAGGTTGAAATATCAGATCGTATATTTTGATAAACTGGGCATTTAATTATCACATGGAATTCATCTTCTATAACATTTTCATCACAACATTTACATATACGCTTATCGAGTGGAGTAGGGGGTTTAGAATAGCGCCCCGTTTCAATAGCAATGGGAAGGCAACCACTTCTTAACTGGCAAATTAGGCGTCTTTGTGACCTTGGGATACGTGCAGTTTTAAACTGTCTGTATGTGCGTAGTTTATTGCCGTTAGTATTTTGACGATCATTAAATAAATCCGAATTCCATTCAGTAGCGTCGTAACTCATTATTTTAATTTTTGTGATGGACATAATTTTCTTAATTGGCATTAAAAGATTAAAAACATCATTTAAAACAAGAGATTCAACAGTGTTTAAAACCTTAAAATACCAACCCTTTTTATTCCTATTCGTTGACAGATACTTAAGAAAACCGAAAATGTGCCTGTGTGGGTCAGTTCCGAACAGCTTGCATAACTATCTGATGCACCCAGCTTTTTGTTTCGATAAACAGGAAAGCCATCCCAATGTCACCCCTACTTGCAACATTTGATGTGAATTTTCCAACCCCTAAAAAGAATTTCATAGCCTTATTTTGCACTGCATTAATACATGAATATGCCTTTGTACCCCATATCCCCACACAATAAAACAGAATAGGTTCGACCAGGTTATTATATAAATTCGTATAAACGGAGTAAAACGTTCCACCACATTGGCCACATGCAAATTTATAACTAGATTTGGGGATGGACGGGTTTCTATAATGAACAATGTTCGATTTTTGGGGGTTAATATTCAGTTTCCATTTTTTACACCAGGTATTGAGCACTGTGAGCATTTTCTCCATACTTGCTTCATCAGGGGCGGTAAGTGCCACGTCATCGGCGTATGCGAGGGCGGAGACTTGCAAGTTTTCACCTATTTTTATACCACATTTCAGTTCACCAATCTCTTCAATGAGATCATTTATATACATTGAGAATAGATATAAGACAACCTTGTTTTACTCCGGCTTCGATGGGGAACCATTCAGAAAGCTTATTGTTAATTTTCACTGCACTCGTGGTTTTAGAATATAGTGATTTTACCGCGTTTAAAATGTTACCCTTCAAACCCATGTTTCCCAGGTTATGCCACAAAAGCGGTCTTTTGATAGAATCGAAACATTTTCGAAAGTCAACATAGCAGACAAACGTAGATTTCCGAGAGTTTTTTCGTTCGTTTATAATATTATAAAGTGAGAAAACATGGTCAGCACAACTTCTATTTTTACGAAACCCGTTTTGGAAATCAGACAACAAATTGTTTTTTTCGAGCCAGTTACTTATCCTGTTATTAAGGATATTACAGTATATTTTACTCGGAACCGAAATAAGAGAGATACCCCTATAGTTTGATGAATTGAGCACATCGTCAATTCCTTGTTTAAAAATAGGTTGGATAACACTTTTAGTCCATTCATCTGGGACTGTTCCTAGTTCGAAACATGCTTCGCATAGTTTGTATAGAATTTTTGAAGTGGCTTCATTTTTTAACACTGTAGAGGGAATAACATCATAAACGAATGAGTTTTTGTTTTTTAGTTCTCTTATGGCTTTTTTAACTTCTTAAAATGTTATAGACTGGTTTAAATTTTCATTTTCTTCGGAATTACTCGATAACGTGACGTCACTAATGTCGTAGGTCGCTGTATCACTATGTAGCTCCGCAAATTCCGATTTCCAAATGTTTAGCACTTGGTTCTCCTCGTAGACAATTTGCCTGTCCTTGTCTTTAATGCTTCTGGGGAATTTTGACTTCCTATCGTTCACAATTCCGATTCTTCCTATTTTGTTCCAAAATTCTGTTCTGTCATGTTCGAAAACATTATTGAGTTCATCTTTTTGTTTGTTTTGGTAATTTCGCTTGTGTTTCCTCAGATTGGTATCAAAAAGTTTCCTTTCATGGCAGTATATTTCTTTAAGGCGCCTTTTGTTGCAGTGAGGTTTTTCTTTCAGCCAATCTTTCTCGCACCGACGCACTCTCTCCCACTGTGATTGCAGTGTAGGATTCCAATACGGTTTATATTTTGATTTAATTCTCTTACACAGTTCCTTATGCACAACTTTCTTAACAATTCTTAGTCTCATTTCTTCATGTACTAGTGTCACGTATATCATCAATTTCCCATATCAGCAAAGAGTGGTCTGGTGTTGAATCAGGATGGTTTTTGGTGTAATCGATTATGTCTGACATGCTTAGCACTGAGAACGACTTTATGCTGTCTGAATTTTCGTGGGGCACACATACATAGTCGACGACCGATCTACCCATTGTTGATATGTTTGTAAAGTCCTGCGACCCGATCCTGCCATTTAGCATGACATGATTTGAAACAGTAAGGAAGTCTATAAAAAGTTCACCGTAATGATTATCTCGAACATCAATCACTTCACGGGTCATGAACACCGTCTATGGTATCCGAAGCATCACCACACCGTGCGTTAAAATCTCCACAGATTTGAATATCACCCATGTTTTGGTAGCTGTAAATTTGTTCAAGTAAAGTCTCAAAGAATGTTTGCGGTTCACAAGGGCGGGTGGAACCTTCTGGTGGGAGATAGCAAACAGCAAGACATAGGCTCAAGTTCGAGTTGATACCCGTTACATGAATCCATAAAATATCTTCGTGACTAGAGTCTGAAATACGTACATTAAAAGCTGTCCCTTTAAGATTGTCTTTAATAAGAACACCAACACCTCCGCTACCCCTTTTAGCCTTTTTGTTAAACGTCTTTCTATTATTTCCATACCATTTATATCCATTCACATCTAACACATTATTTGAAGTTAAAAAGGTTTCACAAAGTGCCAGTATATCACAGTCAGAATAATTAATCACATTTTTGCGAAAATCCGAGTTCGTACACTGTTTTATTGGGAATCCTCGGCAATTCCAGGAACCCAATCTAAGACACCCTCATGCCGATTATTACAAATCCGACCATTTCTAAAAACGAATTTATTGTTATTAATTCGTAGCTCCTTCATCACAACTCGCAAGTTACTTTCTTCTTTCATTTCTTCAGGAGACTTCAGAATTTCTATGAACACATTACATATTTCAATGTACTATTTAAAGTCCGTTTTCTACCTAAAAGTTTATGTTTTTGATCATCATTTTCTACGCTTAGTATTACTAAACTCGGCCTGTTTGGTCTCGATCTAGTTTCAGTGAGCACTCTTTTTGACTTGAAACGTTCAGCTTGGGTTATATTAACGTTGTTTAGTTTTAGACCGTCCTTGATTAAATCGTTCACCTTAGTTAGTAAGCACTCAGGGTTTAAGTCTTCACCACTGTCTTCTAGGTTCTTTATGACTAGTTTAAAGTGATTAGTTTTTGCTTGGGAATATGGTCGTTGGTCTAACGATTTCTCACTAAACTCTTTAAACTTTATGTCCAAATCCGATTTCACCTTAGCAATTTCTTGTTCCATTTTCCCACTAATGTTTTCCTTAATTTCACTTCTAAATGTTTCATTTCTGAATGTAATTTAGCATCTATAATATTTGACACTTTTTGTTCGATATTTTTCTCTAGATTAGATATCTGGCTTGTCATTTGCTTAGACAGGACACCATTTTCATTAATTCGTCAAAACGAGCTTCGTGATTATCAGCTTTATAATTAGACTTAGGTTTCTTACTGTTAATGTCTTCGCTTTCTGTTTCTCCTGTACAGTCCTCTAGTGATCGCTTGACACTGATGAGTCGCACTCGTCCACCATTTTGAGTCGTTGATCCTGTGGCTTGGTTTGACAAATTACTCCCCGAGGCCATCACTTCATTCATAAAACTTTCTGAAGAATTCATATCCATACAAATCACACCTGTATCCATGTTTAAAGACGTATATAAAAGACACAATTGTAAAAGGTTGCTTAAAAGTTTTCAGACTATGTACACTGCTAAAATCAAAGTGCGGTCACGGTTGACTAGATTCTTCTGCTCGGTCACACACGTCCGTTCACCTCGAAAACGATTAGATGTATTGAACATATTGATGACCCCGACATTGCTATTGAAACTTGGTATTCGCTCTTTAATCATGTTCTAGATTTTCACACTCCAAGGAGGCGCCGTAGAGTCAAGAGACATTCCCAACCACAATGGTTTAATGACGAGATTCAGGAAGCGCGATAACTAAGAGGTTACTATAATAAAAAGAACAAAACTTACTTCTACAAATATTGGCTAAAATGAAACTAAATCTTTAATCACAAAATCAAAGGCTAATTTTATTAAAAACTCTGTGAAAGAGAAAGATGATCCGACAATTTATTTTGACTTTGGTATATTTTATTTCATCTTATATATATTTATATATTTTATTTTTTTTGTATATATTGTATATGTTAGGATTTTGACATTTGTTTCTCGTGCATATAACAAACTTTCTTCAACAAAATTTGCATTAATCTTTTAATCTAACCAAGTAAATTTAATTGCCATTATTTATGTTTTTCTTTCGTGTAAATTATACTCCGAGATAATCCATCCATTTAAATTACTACTCGGGTATAATCAAAATTCAAAGTTAGTTCTAATCAATTTACAATTCACTAATCCCGCTAATTTTTTCAAATATTTCTCATGTTTATTTATTTTATATTCTTGATTTCTGTTTATTTATGTTTTTCATTTATGTAAATTGTACTCTGAGATAATCTAATCCTCCTGAATTATTACTCAGATATAATCAAAATCTAATCCAATATTTCTATAATCCTCACTTGATCAAAGATATGACTCAACTAATTAAGAAATCAAAAATAATCCTAATCCTCAACTGATCAAAGATATGACATGATTCACATAATAATTTTTAGAAAATCAAAAACCTGTATCAACTGACTACTATATAAATCGCAAATTCAACCTCATTACATAACCATTCCTCGACACTTGAAAAAGGATAATATTTCGAAAACCGGTTCGTGTTAATTGCGTAAGTTTTTGTTTTACTTGTTATAATTTTTCACGTCGTTGTTAGCGTTATTTATCACCTAAATATATATTTTTGCATTTTTCATCATAACTTTCATCTTACTTACATCTTATCCTCAAACCCAGTTTGACTTATCTGCATAATTTGATCCCCACATTTTCACGCAAGCATATACAATTTCCTCCTGTTTCATCCGCTGTACATTCCCTTTCTGACCTCAAGTTATTTTCATTATGCTCCTCAACTACAACAACCACTGGCAAGAAGCAAGACATAGAAACACTAATCGTCAACCAAACCAATATCACGTACCCTACAACGGCCCTGTCTTCCATCGACCTCTACCACCTACCAATCGCCGAGCACCAACCAACCCATCCAGCTATATCCCACCCCATCGCAGCCTACCAATCAAGAGGTAAAAAAAACTACCTGACCAACAACAGAAACGACTACCAGCCCACCGACGCCAACTAGTCCCCACTCATAAGGGGGAAGAACCCTTTGTGAAGGTGTTCTTCCAAGTTTTGCAGTGCCTCCACCATTTGGCATTCCTTACCCTTCAACAGCAAGGCCAACCAGCGTTTACCTTCAAACGCAAAGTTTCTGAGTTCGATAGTTTTATCCGTCCAGCAATGAAAACATCAGCTGTTGACGCGAATATTAGATCCCTCAATCGGACATGGCTCTCTAAGGTTACGCAAACCACCCCTCAGTCTCCATCCAAGTCGAGACGTGTATCCAGACCTTCCCCCCCCCCCCTCCCCCTCGAACCAGATCCCAGTCCGTTCCCAATGCTACAATCATTATATCCGCTACCAAACCGTATTATCACCAAGCCAATGACAAATCATTATGGAAGCTACCTGCTCTAAAGAAATCTACCTTAATAATTGGATCATCTAACCTAAATCGATTTACCAAAACCAGTTCAGACACTGAAATACATTCTTACCCCGGTGCCCAAATCCATCACATACAGTCAATCCTGGAATCATACGACCATGATCCCAAACCTACTACCATTATTCTTCATGTAGGCCTCAACAACCGTGATCAGCTAGTCAAGCCAAGAAATTAATCGCCACAGCCTACAAAACCCAAACTCCAAGATCCTCTTCACATGTATACCCATTCAAATAAAATATCGAAGAAAGCACAACAGAACCTCAGCACTCTCAACAACATGATGATAGAGTCCAGTATCAACAGCGCAACAATCTTACCACCCTACGAAGAAGAATTCGAACCAGTTGATAATCTTCATTGGTCTCCAGAAACAGCATTTATTTGTTTTGGATACACCAGCTTCAAGCATCGAGTAAGTCTTTAAACTAATTACTGGGGATAAAAATACTGAGAGGCCAGCGCTAGGCCAAACTGTAGTTAACTTGAGCCGCAAAATTTTCACACCCCTTTAGCATTCAATCTTAGACTGTGGACTTTTCTTTATTCCCACACCAAAGATAGCTAACTTGAATTATCTCCGACCATCCATTGAACGATTTCAACGAAATCTTAGCTGCACATATTTTTTTCGAAACCACCCCCCACGTGTTTTCCTAAATCCACGCGGACACCCCCTCAGGCCGCCATCCATCCTGAAATATTGAAAGCATTTGCGAGTATGAATAGCCAAACAGTGAACCTTTCCATAACACACGAAAAGCCTAATCTCACACGAGTGGAACGTAAAGCGTTAAACTTTATTAAGAAAGACGATAGCATTGTTATTAAAAAGAGTGACAAAGGTCCATGTTGTGTCATTCTGAATAGGGAGGATTACGTTTCAGAAGCAGAGAATCAACTGAATAATCCTAAACATTATGCCATTTTACCGAAACCAATTTCAAAGAAACTGCTAACAATATTCTTGCCGATTTAGTCAAAACTAGTTATCTCAAACAAAAACAATATGACTATCTGTCTGCCAAACCTGATTGTCGCGAGAGACATTTGTACACTTTGCCTAAAATCCATAAGAATCCAACCAAAGAGTGGGTTATCTCGAATAAAATCCCTAAACGCCGTCCGATTATATCTGACTGTGGTAGTGAGTCATATGCAGTGTCAGAATACATTGATCATTTCTTACTACCTCTAGCGTGTCAACATCGCGCCTACCTTAAAGACACAACCGATTTTGTCAATAAAATAAAAAATCTTTTAGTTCCCTCTAATGCTATTTTAATTTCTATCGACGTTTCTTCTATGTATACCGATATCGATAACACTACTGGTCTAACGGCAGTTCGTAAAGCTTCTAATAGATACCCAGATCCAAACAGACCCGACGATGCAATTCTACAGCTTTTAGAGATTTGTCTTAGTCGAAACGATTTCACATTTAATGGTAAAACATATTTACAAACTTCAGGGACAGCAATGGGCAAACGATTCGCCCCTTCGTACGCAAACCTTTTCATGGCAGAGTGGGAACGTGAGGTGTTGCCCCTCTGTCCATTTGACCCACTTTTTTACGGACGCTTTTTGGATGACATTTTTATGGTTTGGACTTATTCTATCGAACAGTTTTGGTAATTCTTTGAAATTCTCAAATTCTCACCATCCTTCTATCAAACTAACCGCAAACGTGAGTGACAAAAGCATAGACTTTCTCGATACCACAGTCTTTAAGGGAGATTCCATAGCAGAAACAAATAAAATGGATATTAAAGTGTATTTCAAAGAAACTGATATACATCAACTCTTGCACAAGAGATCCTTTCACCCAAAACATACCTTTTTCTGGTATAATTAAGTCACAAGTTTTACGATTTCAACGAATTTGTACAAGATCTTCTGATTTCAAACAAGCCTGTACGAACTGAAAGAGCGTGGGTACTCTAAACGATTTTTACGAAACATAAAAAATTCCACCTTAGCACAGATAGCAGCCAAAAACAGACTTTATGCCGAAGTACCTCCAGGTTTAAGAAGTGCTCCATATTTGTCCAGTAGATGCAAAACATGTCCCTTTATATCAGAAACTCATTATTTTGTAAGCAACTCTACGAATAAAAGGTACCCGATCCAGGAACATCTAACATGTGAACATTCGAATGTAATATATTTAATTTCATGCAAGATATGCCCCAAACAATATGTAGGAGAAATTAAGAATAATTTACGAACTCGCTTTAATGCTCATAGGTCAGACATCAAATTAAAGAAAGACAAGCCTGTTTCTAATCATTTCAACCTCGACGACCATTCATTAGACGATCTCACCCTAATCCCAATTGAGCGTATAGTAATTGGCTTGCCCGAAGATGAAACTACTAAATTCCGTCAATCTAGGGAAGCCCATTGGATTGAGACATTGAATACATCAAGACCTATAGGACTAAATATTCATCATAATGTAGGCATAGCACCCTTTGTTGTCCCGTTTAATACAACCCGCAATCGAGCAAGCAAGATAGTTCATGCCCACTATAAGAGCCTTCAAGAGAAATTCCCTCATGTCTATAAGCAGAAAATGATAGTTGCATATTCAAAAAAAAAGAACTTAAATGATAATATTGTTCATAGTAAACTAAAAACAATCAGTACATAACAGATACTATACTTCTCGCCCATCGGGCGAGTTATTTTTTCTAATTCCAGATCAGAATAAGAACAGAAGAAAACCCAATATCAAGACCCTTAATCCTAATTTCTAAATAAAGTGTCTGCTCCACCCTAGGCCTGTACATTTGGGAGAATCAAACATTCCTTCCCCGAAATCCAATAAAAGTAAATTAGAGGTTTTATACAAATTACAAATTCTGCAAGGAGAATATTAGATGAAAAACATGATTTACCTTCGGCACCATTATTCAAAATTTTAAATTGGTTGACACTGTATCAACGTATTAGATATAATCGTGGCATAATGACATTCAAAATA